GTGCGGCCGTCGACGACGCCGGCGTCGGCTGCAACAAGACGGCACCTTCGAACCTCGAGAGTTTTTGCCGCGGCGCAGCTTCCTCCTCGAGCGTGACCGAGGCCTTCGTCGACCCGCGCGCCGCCGGGAGCGCGGCCAAAACAGCGGTTAAAGCCTGCTGTACGACGCGCAGGTCCTCGCCGGCGCGCCTGACTCAAAAATCCGCGCCGGCGCGCGACCCTTCGCGATGGCCGAGGAGCTGCTGCTCGAGCCCGGCTTCCTGTCCCAGACGCTCCGGTCGGCCCACGAGACGGCGGCGGAGGCCGAGGCCTGCGCCGACGAGGCGCGGGCGGCGGCGCTCCACGAGCGGGCCGCCCAGGGCTACGTCGCCGCCGCGCGGCGCGTCACCGACGGCGCGACGCGGCGCGCCGTGGCCTTAGTGGCGAATTCGCACGCGCGGCGCGCGTGGGCCCTGCGGCGGTCGCGGGGCCAGCCGTCCCAGGAGCCCGACGGCGCGCGGCCGCCGCCCGAGGAGGACCGGCGGCCGCGCGCGGAGCCGCCGCCGGGCACGCTCTGCGTCGGCGACGTCCTCGCGCTCGAGCGGCGCCTGCACGCGCTCGGCGCGCGCGGCCGCGGCGCCGCGCCGGACGTGAGAGACGCGCCGCGGCCCGGCGACCGCGCGGCGCGCGTGCGGGGCGCCGCGGCGCAGCACGTCGCCGCCTGCCTCGGCGAGACCTGGGCCGAGGACGCGATCGGCGTCGTCGCGCCGCCCGACTCGGACGACGACGCCGAGCGGCCGCGGCGGGCGGCGCAGACCCCGGCGTCCGAGGCGGCGGCCCTCGCGCGCGCCGTGGAGCGGCTCGCGGCGGCCAACGCGGCCCTGGTGGCCGAGCGCGACGACCTGCGGCGCGACAACGCGGAGTCGCGGGCCATCAAGGCGGAGATGGTCGCGTTCAAGGCGCTTTTCCAGCAAAAGTTCGACGCTTTGCGCGACCGCCTCGAGGCCTTCCGCCGCGACTACCCGTCGCCGGCGAACCCGGCGAACGCGACGCGGCCGGGCGACCCGGACCCGCCCAAGTCCGCCGTGGACCTCGAGGCGGAGAACCGCCAATTGCGCGCGCGCCTCGGCGCGGAGCGCGACGCGGGCCGGAAGAAGGACGCGATCATCTCGCGCTACGAGCACTGGTACCGCGCGCTCAAGGCCAGCGCCAACAGCAAGCGGCGCCCGAGCCTCACGAAGGAGTCCGCCGCGCTCTAGGGGCAGTCCCGGGTAAGCGTCCGAAGAAGAGGTTCTAGAGGCGAGCGCCTACTGCGTCCCGCGGAGGCCGAG